CAAACTAAACACAACACACTAACACAACACACTAAACACAACACACTAAACACAACAAACTAAACACAACACACTAAACACAACACACTAAACACAACACACTAAACACAACACACTAAACACAACCGACTAAACACAACAAACTAAACACAACAAACTAAACACAACACACTAAACACAACACACTAAACACAACACACTAAACACAACACACTAAACACAACACACTACACACTAAACACAACAAATTAAACACAACACACTAAACACAACACACTAAACAAAACACACTAAACACAACACACTAAACACAACACACTAAACACAACACACTAAACACAACACACTAAACACAACACACTACACACTAAACACAACACACTAAAGACAACACACTAAACACAACACACTAAACACAACACACTAAACACAACACACTAAACACAACACACTAAACACTACACACTAAACACAACAAATTAAACACAACACACTAAACACAACACACTAAACACAACAAACTAAACACAACACACTAAACACAACACACTAATCACAGCACACTAAACACAACACACTAAACACAACAAACTAAACAAACTAAACACAACACACTAAACACAACACACTAAACACAACACACTAAACACAACACACTAAACACAACACACTAAACACAACACACTAAACACAACACACTAAGCACAACACACTAAACACAATACACTAAACACAACACACTAAACACAACACACTAAACACAACACACTAACACATAACACACTAAACACAACACACTAAACACAACACACTAAACACAACACACTAAACACAACACACTAAACACAACACACTAAGCACAACACACTAAACACAATACACTAAACACAACACACTAAACACAACACACTAAACACAACACACTAACACATAACACACTAACACATAACACACTAAACACAACACACTAAACACAACACACTACACACTAAACACAACAAATTAAACACAACACACTAAACACAACACACTAAACAAAACACACTAAACACAACACACTAAACACAACACACTAAACACAACACACTAAACACACCACACTAAACACAACACACTAAACACAACACACTAAACACAACACACTACACACTAAACACAACACACTAAACACAACACACTAAACACAACACACTAAACACAACACACTAAACACAACACACTAAACACAACACACTAAACACTACACACTAAACACAACACACTACACACTAAACACAACAAATTAAACACAACACACTAAACACAACACACTAAACAAAACACACTAAACACAACACACTAAACACAACAAACTAAACACAACACACTAAACACAACACACTAATCACAGCACACTAAACACAACACACTAAACACAACAAACTAAACAAACTAAACACAACACACTAAACACAACACACTGAACACAACACACTAAACACAACACACTAAACACAACACACTAAACACACCACACTAAACACAACACACTAAACACAACACACTAAGCACAACACACTAAACACAATACACTAAACACAACACACTAAACACAACACACTAAACACAACACACTAAACACAACACACTAAACACAACACACTAAACACAACACACTAAACACTACACACTAAACACAACAAATTAAACACAACACACTAAACACAACACACTAAACACAACAAACTAAACACAACACACTAAACACAACACACTAATCACAGCACACTAAACACAACACACTAAACACAACAAACTAAACAAACTAAACACAACACACTAAACACAACACACTAAACACAACACACTAAACACAACACACTAAACACAACACACTAAACACAACACACTAAGCACAACACACTAAACACAATACACTAAACACAACACACTAAACACAACACACTAAACACAACACACTAAACACAACACACTAAACACAACACACTAAACACAACACACTAAACACAACACACTAAACACAACAAACTAAACACAACACACTAAACACAACACACTAAACACAACACACTAAACAAAACACTACACACTAAACACAACACACTACACACTAAACACACTAAACACAACACACTAAACACAACACACTAAACACAACACACTAAACACAACACACTAAACACAACACACTAAACACAACACACTAAACACAACACACTACACACTAAACACAACACACTAAACACAACACACTAAACACAACACACTAAACACAACACACTAAACACAACACACTAAACACAACACACTAAACACTACACACTAAACACAACACACTAAACACAACACACTACACACTAAACACAACAAATTAAACACAACACACTAAACACAACACACTAAACAAAACACACTAAACACAACACACTAAACACAACAAACTAAACACAACACACTAAACACAACACACTAATCACAGCACACTAAACACAACACACTAAACACAACAAACTAAACAAACTAAACACAACACACTAAACACAACACACTAAACACAACACACTAAACACAACACACTAAACACAACACACTAAACACAACACACTAAACACAACACACTAAACACAACACACTAAGCACAACACACTAAACACAATACACTAAACACAACACACTAAACACAACACACTAAACACAACACACTAACACACAACACACTAAACACAACACACTAAACACAACACACTAAACACAACACACTAAACACAACAAACTAAACACAACAAACTAAACACAACACACTAAACACAACACACTAAACACAACACACTAAACGCAACACACTAAACACAACACACTACACACTAAACACAACACATTAAACACAACACACTAAACACAACCCTCTAAACAAAACACACTAAACACAACACACTAAACACAACAAACTAAACACAACACACTAAACACAACACACTAAACACAACAAACTAAACACAACAAACTAAACACAACACACTAAACACAACAAACTAAACACAACACACTAACACAACACACTAAACACAACACACTAAACACAACAAACTAAACACAACACACTATACACAACACACTAAACACAACACACTAAACACAACACACTAAACACAACACACTAAACACAACACACTAAACACAACACACTAAACACAACACACTAAACACAACACACTAAACACAACAAACTAATCACAACAAACTAAACACAACACACTAAACACAACACACTAAACACAACACACTAAACACAACACACTAAACACAACAAACTAATCACAACAAACTAAACACAACAAACTAAACACAACAAACGCAGTTGTAAAGAAATCAGTTTTCAATCATAGATTTAAAAGTGCACAGCTCCCGTGTCCTCCCAATATTGGACATTATGATGATGTACATCGGTTACGTGATGGTTAAACAGCATCGACGACGGTCTATTCAAATAACGCAGTACCGCCAAAGTGACAGTGAGCAAAATCGCTTTGTCTGCTTGCGCGTGCCCTCCGGTTCAGAGCAAACAGCTTTGTGTGTTGGAATGCGTCTGCCTGGGCCTGAGCACAGCAGCGCGCATTCTCTCAGCGGACACGGCACGCTGCAAAGCGTGCAACTTTTACGCACAACAAAGGCGATTGTTGGGCACTGAACCATGAAGGCATTGACTTTTCGTTGATTTTTTCCCTTGCTACAAAATGCCCTGGCTATCACAATATTCGAGCGTGTGGTTTTTTTTTGTATTCTTTGGGTCTTTCGGTAAAGTTACGTGGATCGGTTCTAAAGGCAAAGGTTTGAAATGGACGTAGCCCAAATGTACGGCCGTACATTTAACCCCCGTTGCCTGATGACGATCGCTTGTGTTGCGATCGAAACGTCGTAGTTTTTTATTTTATTTTAACCTATATCTACGTGACTTTACCAAAAGACCCAAAGAATATGAATTCCTGCAGTCACGAAAGCTTTAAGTCGAGTGGGTTTTTTTTTTCTTTTCTTAAACCTACCGAGAACTTTTTTTTCTATTTTTGTGTTTAGATTCGTTCTGTGCCGCATCCTGAACAAAAAATCACGCGCCAACCCCACGCACCACGGCGAGCGTCACCACGTGTCACGTGAACACAGATTAACTCGCGTGGAGGATGTGCACATGAGCGGGTCTCGATCCTTCTCGGACCCAGTGGTCCCCTCCCCCCCCCCCCCCCAGGTTACTAAGGCCACGTTGCACAGAGAAGATCACATGCCCACGCCCGTGTAGTCAAAAGCAGCGTTAACAATGAAACTGTTCCACATTGTGCGTATTCGCGTGCTAAGTCACCACGTGAGCGTGTGGATAACGCTCCCCGTACACGTTCAAATATGTTTCCTGCACCGTATCCATGCTAACCACCCCAACACCCCTTATGCCGTGCTAGCCTTCATAGGCGCTCGCCAATATCACTTGTCTCCAACACTCTGTCTCTCTTCATAGCAGGGGTGGGGAATTCTCCAAGCAGAAAACTTGTCTCTCTCTCTCTCACACCCGTCGATCCACGTAATAGAACTGAGACTATTTTGTTTCACAAATTCCATCAGCCAGGGTCAAATAGGACTTCTAAATGCCTTTGGCGGGCCACACAACGTGGACACTTCTGTTGCTGCGAGAACTGCAGCTGCAGGTAACGCAAGTTTTGCTTAACGCGTTCAAATGCGTAACGCGGCTGCCAGGTCAAAATAAAATATATATATATTGCCCCCCAGTTTCCGATGAGCGCGGTTGAGGTACGGTGATGGACAACTTCGTTTGTAGGCCGTCTCAAAGTGGCAGGTTTCACGTGGCCACGGGGGTCCGTATGAAAAACACAAAGTTGCGGGTCGTGTCCGCCACCCCCCCCCCCCACCACATTGTGGTAGCTTCTACCCCTCTGCTACGGGAGTGTCGTTTTTTTGTGCCTTGCGTGGCATGGATTCTTGCGACCTCCGTGCAGGCGCTGACCTCCTTGAGGACCGTCGTGGAGGCATTTGGAGAATTCCCGAAGACCATGCAGAAAGGCCTGGTGAGATACGGCTGGTATGAAAGGTAACGGTGCCTCGATTCCTCTCCGAAAGTCCATCGGCGGATTGCTTTTATGACGGGGCGGCTTGCGTCGGCTGTAAAACGTAATAAGTCGAACGTAGCCGGCCTGACCGCACGTTGCGAGCGATCTAAAGTCGCGTGTCAACCATGCGCACGATGCTGCGCTCAACATAGCTCAGTATACGGACCCCCGCACCTCCGATTATTAGCACTGTTGCCTACGTACGGTGCGAAAGACGTTCAACATACAGTACGTGCCGCCCCCACCCCCCCTCTCTTCTCCACGCATGACAGCTTCGGCCCCGGCCGAATGATCATCCGGCAGGGCCAGGTGCCCCAGAATTTCTACCTCCTGCTCACAGGCACCGCTCTCGTCACCAAGGTGCGCATGGACCAGCAGAGCGGAGAGGTGTCCGTCAAAACGGTCACCTTCCTCAAGCAGGGCGACTTCTTTGGGGTGGGTGTGATGTGACACACGCTCGCGCAAATCAACGCGCGTCGCCACTTTCCAATCACAATTCTGGCAAATCGCCTGATGAAGCTGGATGCAATCACCAGCGAAACGTCGTCCTCACATTCTGAACCTTTGTGACTCGATACTTTTGTTTGTGCGCAGGGCAGCCCTGTTGTGGAATTTTTTTGGATCAACTTTAACCGGTGCCAGGAGAGAAAAAAATAACAACCCATCTCTAGTTTAGTGTTTATGAAGTTCACATTCCTATGCAGTTCGATCATCTTCCACGCTCGTGCAAAGGTTCCATAACCGAGTGAGCATTACGCACGTGTGTGTACGCTATTCGCCGCGTGAAGACTCACAGTTTGGCCATTCCAAGCGCACGTTACAATATCTGGAGACAAGACATGGTTTGTGGATGATGATGGAGATGCAGAAGAAGAACACCACTTCGAGTGAACTCCAATGAGTTACGTAACCTTTAGGCAGGCTTTTTGCGGCACTCCATTGATTCACGCGGTCACAATTACCAACGCCTTCATTAGCCAAGACGATTAATTACCGCGATCTCTCGGGGGGGGGGGGGGGGAAAGGGGGGGGGGCTCGCCGTGACCATTGCAGCCGCCGCCGCGGGCTCTCTTGAATCAGCACCGGCCCCGGCGTGCGTTGGCAAGCGTCGATTGAGCACCTCCTGCCGTAATTGAGCCAACTTGATGTCCACGCAGGACGAGCGGTAATTTGTAAAGGGTTAAAGGTGCAGCCATGAAATCGCTCGCTTGCGTCACTGCTGGTGAAACGAACCAGCAAACAAAGAACCTTCAGGGGCGCGTACTCCACAGAGCCCCCTCGAGGGGGTATTTTAGCCTACTCTTCCACACCGTGGCAGCGATGGAAATGTGCCCACACCTTACTCCACCATCTGCGACATGCCAATCAACGAACTATAATGTACCCATTCATATTGCTGGGGGGGGGGGAAGCCATTTGCGCCTTTCATTCACTGCCGCGACGGGAGATCGAACCGCGACTCCTGCCTCGCAAAGTCCCGTGTGCTCACCGTGACCCCACGGCAGTTGCCCTCCCTCGACTCTTCGTAACGGCGCTCGATCATTCCTCGCGTTACAGGACCTGGCCATTTTGATGCGAGCGAGGCGGAACGCCACGGTCGTGTGCAAGGAGACGGTCGCCCTCCTCGCCGTCAACCGACAGGTCTCCCTCCCCCCTCCTCCCTCCCTCCTCCCTCCCTCCCTCCCTCCTCCCTCCTCCCTCCCTCCCTCCCTCCCCCCTCCTCCCTCCCTCCTCCCTCCCTCCCTCCCTCCTCCCTCCTCCTCCCCCCTCTTCCCTCCTCCCTCCTCCTCCCTCCTCCCTCCTCCTCCTCCCTCCTCCCTCCTCCTCCCTCCCTCCTCCTCCTCCTCCCTCCTCCTCCCCCTCCTCCTCCTCCCTCCTCCCTCTCTCCCTCCCTCCCTCCTCCTCCTCCCTCCTCCTCCCCCTCCTCCTCCTCCCTCCTCCCTCTCTCCCTCCCTCCCTCCTCCTCCCTCCTCCTCCTCCCTCCTCCTCCTCCTTCCTCCTCCCTCCTCCTCCCCCCTCCTCCTCCCTTCTCCTCCCTCCTCCCTCCTCCTCCCTCCCTCCCTCCCTCCCTCCTCCTCCCTCCTCCCTCCTCCCTCCTCCTTCCTCCTTCCTCCTCCCTCCTCCTCCCTCCCTCCTCCTCCTCCTCCCTCCTCCTCCCCCTCCTCCTCCTCCCTCCTCCCTCTCTCCCTCCCTCCCTCCTCCTCCCTCCTCCTCCCCCTCCTCCTCCTCCCTCCTCCCTCTCTCCCTCCCTCCCTCCTCCTCCCTCCTCCTCCTCCCTCCTCCTCCTCCTTCCTCCTTCCTCCTCCTCCCCCCTCCTCCTCCCTTCTCCTCCCTCCTCCCTCCTCCTCCCTCCCTCCCTCCCTCCCTCCCTCCCTCCTCCTCCCTCCTCCCTCCTCCCTCCTCCCTTCTCCCTCCTCCCTCCTCCTCCCTCCTCCCTCCTCCTCCTCCTCCCTCCTCCTCCCCCTCCTCCTCCTCCCTCCTCCCTCTCTCCCTCCCTCCCTCCTCCTCCCTCCTCCTCCCCCTCCTCCTCCTCCCTCCTCCCTCTCTCCCTCCCTCCCTCCTCCTCCCTCCTCCTCCTCCCTCCTCCTCCTTCCTCCTCCCTCCTCCTCCCCCCTCCTCCTCCCTTCTCCTCCCTCCTCCCTCCTCCTCCCTCCCTCCCTCCCTCCCTCCCTCCCTCCCTCCCTCCCTCCTCCTCCCTCCTCCCTCCTCCCTCCTCCCTCCTCCCTCCTCCCTCCTCCCTCCTCCCTCCTCCCTCCTCCTCCCTCCTCCTCCCTCCCTCCCTCCCTCCTCCTCCCTCCTCCCTCCTCCCTCCTCCCTCCTCCCTCCTCCTCCCTCCCTCCTCCTCCTCCTCCCTCCTCCTCCCCCTCCTCCTCCTCCCTCCTCCCTCTCTCCCTCCCTCCCTCCTCCTCCCTCCCCTCCCTCCCTCCCCTCCCTCCCTCCCTCCCCTCCCTCCCTCCCTCCCTCCCTCCCTCCCTCCCTCCTCCCTCCCTCCCCTCCCTCCCTCCCTCCCTCCCTCCCTCCCTCCCTCCCTCCCTCCTCCCTCCCTCCCTCCCTCCCTCCCTCCCTCCCTCCCTCCCCTCCCTCCCTCCCTCCCCTCCCTCCCTCCCTCCCTCCCTCCCTCCCTCCCTCCCTCCCTCCCCTCCCTCCTCCCTCCCTCCCCTCCCTCCCTCCCTCCCTCCCTCCCTCCCCTCCCTCCCTCCCTCCCTCCCTCCCTCCCTCCCTCCCTCCCTCCCTCCCTCCCTCCCTCCTCCCTCCCTCCCTCCCCTCCCTCCCTCCCTCCTCCCTCCCTCCCTCCCTCCCTCCCTCCCTCCTCCCTCCCTCCCTCCCTCCCTCCCTCCCTCCTCCCTCCCTCCCCTCCCTCCCTCCCTCCCTCCCTCCCTCCTCCTCCCTCCTCCCTCCTCCCTCCTCCCTCCTCCTCCCTCCTCCCTCCTCCTCCCTCCCTCCTCCTCCTCCTCCCTCCTCCTCCCCCTCCTCCTCCTCCCTCCTCCCTCTCTCCCTCCTCCTCCCTCCTCCTCCCCCTCCTCCTCCTCCCTCCTCCCTCTCTCCCTCCCTCCCTCCTCCTCCCTCCTCCTCCTCCCTCCTCCTCCTCCTTCCTCCTGCCTCCTCCTCCCCCCTCCTCCTCCCTTCTCCTCCCTCCTCCCTCCTCCTCCCTCCCTCCCTCCCTCCCTCCTCCTCCCTCCTCCCTCCTCCCTCCTCCCTCCTCCCTCCCTCCTCCCTCCTCCTCCCTCCCTCCTCCTCCCTCCTCCCTCCTCCTCCCTCCCTCCTCCTCCTCCTCCCTCCTCCTCCCCCTCCTCCTCCTCCCTCCTCCCTCTCTCCCTCCTCCTCCCTCCTCCTCCCCCTCCTCCTCCTCCCTCCTCCCTCTCTCCCTCCCTCCCTCCTCCTCCCTCCTCCTCCTCCCTCCTCCTCCTCCTTCCTCCTGCCTCCTCCTCCCCCCTCCTCCTCCCTTCTCCTCCCTCCTCCCTCCTCCTCCCTCCCTCCCTCCCTCCCTCCTCCTCCCTCCTCCCTCCTCCCTCCTCCCTCCTCCCTCCCTCCTCCCTCCTCCTCCCTCCCTCCTCCTCCCTCCTCCTCCCCCTCCTCCTCCTCCCTCCTCCCTCTCTCCCTCCCTCCCTCCTCCTCCCTCCTCCTCCCCCTCCTCCTCCTCCCTCCTCCCTCCTCCCTCTCTCCCTCCCTCCCTCCTCCTCCCTCCTCCTCCTCCCTCCTCCTCCTCCTCCTTCCTCCTCCCTCCTCCTCCCCCCTCCTCCTCCCTTCTCCTCCCTCCTCCCTCCTCCTCCCTCCCTCCCTCCCTCCCTCCTCCTCCCTCCTCCCTCCTCCCTCCTCCCTCCTCCCTCCTCCCTCCTCCTCCCTCCTCCTCCCTCCTCCCTCCTCCTCCCTCCCTCCTCCTCCTCCTCCCTCCTCCTCCCCCTCCTCCTCCTCCCTCCTCCCTCTCTCCCTCCCTCCCTCCTCCTCCCTCCTCCTCCCCCTCCTCCTCCTCCCTCCTCCCTCTCTCCCTCCCTCCCTCCTCCTCCCTCCTCCTCCTCCTCCTCCCTCCTCCTCCCCCCTCCTCCTCCCTTCTCCTCCCTCCTCCCTCCTCCTCCCTCCCTCCCTCCCTCCCTCCTCCTCCCTCCTCCCTCCTCCCTCCTCCCTCCTCCTCCCTCCTCCCTCCTCTTCCCTCCTCCCTCCTCCTCCCTCCCTCCCTCCCTCCCTCCCTCCCTCCTCCTCCCTCCTCCCTCCTCCCTCCTCCCTCCTCCCTCCTCCTCCCTCCTCCCTCCTCCTCCCTCCTCCCTCCTCCTCCCTCCCTCCCTCCCTCCTCCTCCCTCCTCCCTCCTCCCTCCTCCCTCCTCCTCCTCCCTCCCTCCTCCTCCTCCTCCCTCCTCCTCCCCCTCCTCCTCCTCCCTCCTCCCTCTCTCCCTCCCTCCCTCCTCCTCCCTCCTCCTCCCCCTCCTCCTCCTCCCTCCTCCCTCTCTCCCTCCCTCCCTCCTCCTCCCTCCTCCTCCTCCCTCCTCCTCCTCCTCCCTCCTCCCTCCTCCTCCCTCCCTCCCTCCCTCCCTCCTCCTCCCTCCTCCCTCCTCCCTCCTCCTCCCTCCTCCTCCCTCCTCCCTCCTCCTCCCTCCCTCCTCCTCCTCCTCCCTCCTCCTCCCCCTCCTCCTCCTCCCTCCTCCCTCTCTCCCTCCCTCACTCCTCCTCCCTCCTCCTCCCCCTCCTCCTCCTCCCTCCTCCCTCTCTCCCTCCCTCCCTCCTCCTCCCTCCTCCTCCTCCTTCCTCCTCCCTCCTCCTCCCCCCTCCTCCTCCCTTCTCCTCCCTCCTCCCTCCTCCTCCCTCCCTCCCTCCCTCCCTCCTCCTCCCTCCTCCCTCCTCCCTCCTCCCTCCTCCCTCCTCCTCCCTCCTCCCTCCTCCCTCCTCCTCCCTCCTCCTCCCTCCCTCCCTCCCTCCCTCCCTCCTCCTCCCTCCTCCCTCCTCCCTCCTCCCTCCTCCCTCCTCCTCCCTCCCTCCTCCTCCCTCCCTCCTCCTCCTCCTCCCTCCTCCTCCCCCTCCTCCTCCTCCCTCCTCCCTCTCTCCCTCCTCCTCCCTCCTCCTCCCCCTCCTCCTCCTCCCTCCTCCCTCTCTCCCTCCCTCCCTCCTCCTCCCTCCTCCTCCTCCCTCCTCCTCCTCCTTCCTCCTGCCTCCTCCTCCCCCCTCCTCCTCCCTTCTCCTCCCTCCTCCCTCCTCCTCCCTCCCTCCCTCCCTCCCTCCTCCTCCCTCCTCCCTCCTCCCTCCTCCCTCCTCCCTCCCTCCTCCCTCCTCCTCCCTCCCTCCTCCTCCCTCCTCCCTCCTCCTCCCTCCCTCCTCCTCCTCCTCCCTCCTCCTCCCCCTCCTCCTCCTCCCTCCTCCCTCTCTCCCTCCTCCTCCCTCCTCCTCCCCCTCCTCCTCCTCCCTCCTCCCTCTCTCCCTCCCTCCCTCCTCCTCCCTCCTCCTCCTCCCTCCTCCTCCTCCTTCCTCCTGCCTCCTCCTCCCCCCTCCTCCTCCCTTCTCCTCCCTCCTCCCTCCTCCTCCCTCCCTCCCTCCCTCCCTCCTCCTCCCTCCTCCCTCCTCCCTCCTCCCTCCTCCCTCCCTCCTCCCTCCTCCTCCCTCCCTCCTCCTCCCTCCTCCTCCCCCTCCTCCTCCTCCCTCCTCCCTCTCTCCCTCCCTCCCTCCTCCTCCCTCCTCCTCCCCCTCCTCCTCCTCCCTCCTCCCTCCTCCCTCTCTCCCTCCCTCCCTCCTCCTCCCTCCTCCTCCTCCCTCCTCCTCCTCCTCCTTCCTCCTCCCTCCTCCTCCCCCTCCTCCTCCCTTCTCCTCCCTCCTCCCTCCTCCTCCCTCCCTCCCTCCCTCCCTCCTCCTCCCTCCTCCCTCCTCCCTCCTCCCTCCTCCCTCCTCCCTCCTCCTCCCTCCTCCTCCCTCCTCCCTCCTCCTCCCTCCCTCCTCCTCCTCCTCCCTCCTCCTCCCCCTCCTCCTCCTCCCTCCTCCCTCTCTCCCTCCCTCCCTCCTCCTCCCTCCTCCTCCCCCTCCTCCTCCTCCCTCCTCCCTCTCTCCCTCCCTCCCTCCTCCTCCCTCCTCCTCCTCCTCCTCCCTCCTCCTCCCCCTCCTCCTCCCTTCTCCTCCCTCCTCCCTCCTCCTCCCTCCCTCCCTCCCTCCCTCCTCCTCCCTCC